TATTTTAATTTTCATGTGACCAATAATTTTCTTTAGCCAATTTTGACATTTTACTTTCATGTGACCAATAATAGTTTTCTTTTTGGCTAGAAACAAATGCATATTAGGTAATTTTATATATATCAATGTTATTAGTATTTTATTTAGTATTTGGGATTGAGTGTTATTTAGACACTTAACTAGCAATAGGGTCAATTGAGGTAATTGAAAGCAACAAGTAACAAATTAATTAAATTTTGGCTGCTATCGATGACCAAAGTTCAATTTGAGCTTTCAAATCCTTAGCAACAATATACTAATTAATTAGAATTTCCCTATGAAATGTGACTATAAAAGTTAAAAAATGAAAGTTGAAACTATATAATATAGTAAAATGTTATCCACTTACTATTATAAGTTTACCTATTATTATTAGATAGATAAGAGAAAATGTTGATAAATGGGATCTTCGTAGAAATGAACTAGTAATAGAATTGACAATAACTATAGCATCAATGTTTTATACATAGAATTGTAGATAAATGTAAAGTATATATTATTACCTTAAGTTTAAATTTTATGCAAAACCAATGTAGTATATCTATATGTCTGTTTAAAGTTAAATTATACACTTATCTTTTAACGAAAACACAACTTATAAGAGGTTTTTTCTCCCCAAATGAATAATGGTTAATCATGCATGTCTTGAACGTCATCAAATTACCGTTCACTCAGTCTTAACTGTGCCTAAATATTCTTCCTTAGTAACAAAATTATATATATATATATAATATATATATATATATTTCGTTTGTCATTTTCACTTGGAAATCATGAACTTTTTCACCAACTTTTGTATCAAAGTTGTGTCACATGATTGTGACTATCAATAATATAACATACTTTTAAAGTATAAAGATAATAATTCACCTATATATAGGTAAAATAAATTGAAGTGTTCCTGATACACATTTACTAATATATATGTATTCTTATTCTTTAGCTAAACCAGTACTTTTTGGATAGAGTAACGTATAGTGACTCACTTCAACTTGTATTTTGTTTGGATATTTTCTCTTCAACTAATCTATTTTTTGAGTTATCCAACAACTCAATTGTCGGATGGGTGCAAAATTTGAAATTAATGTGCAAGTAAAGAGTTCTTTTTCTAACTATTAATATAAAGAGTGATACTATAAAACAGATGAAAAGTTATGGAGTAAATTAACAAATCGTATTGACATGAGGGGATAAAAAAGCAACGAGTTCAATTATAAATATAGGATGCAATGAAAGCCACGTTACTACAAGTATAATGGACAAAAGTATTAACACATTATTATCTTTTTGCTTTTTTGATGATTCGAACCTACAACTTTAAGATCGTACGGTGCTTAACATCTAAGCAACTTGGCTTAGAAAGGAGAAAGATTACGAAATTGTACTAAAAAAATTCTTAGACTTTTTTATTCGTAATCAGCTACCTAAAGGTTAATATGACTTTTTGGTTCATCAAGCAGTCCTCGTTAGTGACAGAGAACAAAAGTTTTTATTAAGTAATTAAAAACATAAAAATTTAAATACGAAACGATTACAAGAGGATAATTCGAAGACGAATACAAAAGGAAAGACTAATGCTTTAATTTACGCTTTCATGTTGTCATTTATAACATGTAATTCCTTCTCATTTTCCCTTGTCCATCTAGTTTTTTAAAAAAATGCTTGCACGTTTTAGGTAAAAAAATAACTTTGAAGAAAAAATAAAAAAATAATATCTTCTTGATATCTTAGAAAAAGTCACTAATTTCAAAAAATATTACAAAAGGTAAAATATCATTTAAAAAGAAATGAAGAAAGTACAAGATTGTATCTTCACAAAATAAAATTTTCATTAAAGTCACAAGTTGATTCCCTCCAAATAAGAAAAGATAATAAGAAGAAAGCAATTACCATAACTAAGCTAAGGATTAAAATGTTACTACAATTATATATTACCTAGGTAAGTAATTGTACAAATGGTAGAAAAATTCAATTCAATGAAGATGACATTTAATTGTCCAAAAAGAGCCTTTAAAAATGACATTTTACAATAAAAACATGCAAGAAAAAGTATAGCTTTACTACAATATAAAGGAGGAGGATTTTGTTAAGCTTGGACAATACTACAATATTAAGAAAGAGTAGAACTCTTCCACTACCAAGAAGAATTGTTGCATGCTTGTCACTTCAGTGACTCAAAGAATTTCACTTCTTTTTTGTTCATCATCTTTGCAATGACCATGGATAATTTTTGCGGTATCCTTCTTCCATATCTCTAGACTGTAGCTGTAATTCTTGTCCGTAAACTCATTAGCTTTTTTAATTTTTTTAATGCAGGGAATATAATGACGTTGTTTATCTCTGCAATTATAGTTGTATGTGTTCAAAGTCAACTGATAACGGAAACACCTTATAACACGGTTGTTTCTAAAGATGGAACCGGAAATTTCAACACAATTGCTGGAGCAATATTGGCGGCCCCTGATCACAGTGTCAAGCCATTCTTCATAAAAATTAAGAAAGGCACGTATCAGGAATATATTAGAGTTGATAAAAAGAAGACTAATATATTCCTGATTGGAGAAGGGATGAATACTACGATAATAACGGGTAATAGAAGTTTTGTCGATGGCAACCGAACCTATGACACCGCGACCGTATGTAAGCCCCTCTCTCTATATATACATAAGTTTTATTCATTTTGATGATTATAATTGTTTCTTCTTATTTAATTTGCAGGGGTCGCTGGTAATGGCTTCATAGCCCAAGACATAACTTTTAGAAATAATGCCGGACCCATAAAACATCAGGCTGTGGCATTACGAGTTGACGCAGATTTGGTGTCCTTTTATAAATGTCGTTTCGACTGGTATCAAGACACCTTGTATGTGAAAAGGCAACGTCAGTTCTACCGCGATTGTGAAATCTATGGCACCATAGATTTTATATGTGGTGACGCAACAGCTGTGTTCCAAAACTGCTTGATTGAAGCTCGCACTCCAATGGCGAGGCAATATAACACAATCACATCGCAACATAGAGAGCTTGAGTCCTTACCAACTGGAATAGTGCTTCAAAACTGCACTATAAAGGCTACCCGCGATTTGGAGAAATTGAACAACGTCACGACATTTTTAGGTCGGCCATGGGGTATATTTTCTAGGACTGTGATAATGGAAAGTTATATCGATAACTTGATAGATCATAGAGGATGGGTTGAGTGGATTGAATCGGCAAATAAATCTGTTGTTAGCCGCCGACCATATTATCTGGAGTATAAGAATAGAGGGCCGGGTGCTGTCACGAAGGGACGTGTGACATGGGCATCCGTCACTACGGATCCTAATATTGCATCAGATTTCACGGTTAGAAACTTTATAAGCGGTGACCAGTGGATTCCCGCAAATATCCCTCATTACTTAGATTTATCTTGAACAACTATTACGTTGTATTGTATTCCCAGTAGTTATTATCAGATTATGAAAATAGTACTACTATGTACGTATCTTGTTTCTTTCAAATGAATATGCTTATCTGGTTTGTCTTCAAGTAATTCATTCTACATACTTACAGAAACATAGTGTCAAAACTTATATATTCATATTATTTCAAGTAAAAAAATAATTAAATATTAAAATCTCAAAAATAATTGCAACTTAACAACTTAATCTGAATTAAAATGTTGAACTAAAGCGTCAGTTCAAATTCAAAAACTTGGATTAAGGGAACCTTGTACAACAACTATGAACGGATACAAGAAATTTAAGTCATCCTATAAAGTCCCAAGTTTGCCTAAAGTAAATACTATATTTCAAAATTTAATGATTAAAAGTTTAAAGAGATGAATTTGACTGGAGCCCATATTCGATCTTTTTTATTCAAAAACTAATTCACAATATTGTTAGTGATCACAATAATAATAAGAAGACAATTTGACTTCAGCCTATATTCGATCATTTTGGGGCTGAAACTATTGTAATCTGCTGGTATATGTTTTAGGGCTTTAGCCCAAATTCTGCTTCTGCTGCTGCTTTATTACGGCCCCTTTAACTAAATATTAGCTTCCCTTTTGATGAACTTGGCAGGCGCTTTAGCGAAAAAAAGACGTATATTGGGCTTCAACCCAACGTATATGCATCAGAAAAATAGTGAGTCCAGCGGAATCGAACAGCAGTATAACATGTAAAAATAACAAAGAGCAGAAAATTAGTATCTGTAAGAGAGATTAGCATACTGAATTTAACATTCAATGAAAATTTAAGGAAATTGTTCATCATTTATTTTCAAAAGTAACGCTACTAGTAATCTTATTCACATGTAAGTAACTCTTGGTGGAATGAAATTCATAGCAGATGAAAAATAAAACTAGCTACCGAAATATATGGCTAACACATTACTCATAAACTATATATATATTCTTAGTACATGAAATTAAGACTCCAGGAAGACAGAAAGGTGCAAGAAAGTAGAACTTCAACAAAATTCCCTTATCAAGGGTAACAGGATCATATGACTTATGGGAATTAGCTTATATACTTATTGAACTCTTAAATCCTTAATTAAACTCAAGCAGTCTTCTCGAATATGAGCACATCAAATTAGTGAATCAGCATACATTCAAGGAAGATCAAACAGAGGATAAATTTGAGCGAGCATTGAACACAAACCGAAGTTGTCATAAAGGTAACGACAAAGAAACCAAGTCCATCTCGGAAAAGTAAATCAACTAAATAAAGCGAAGATAGAACTCAGATATAATCAGCGAGATAGGCATCTGAACTATCACCCTATTTAGTTGTTTCTCATTTGGAAAAAAAAAACTCAGAAGTAAAAATATATTCTACCTTTATATTCATTTCTGGAAAAATTCAAATACTTGGAACACACTATGTAATCATAAGAATGTATTCTACTTTTTAAGTTGAACACAGATGGGAGCTCGATGACTAAGACTAACAAAGCACGGGGTGGAGGTATTTTAAGGGACCATCAAAGCAACTTGATAATGGCCTTTACTATGTCTATGATCTTTCACTCAAATAACTAGGCTGAAACACACACAACACTTTATGGTCTCAAATGGTGTAAGCAAAAACAAAATAGGCCCTATTATCTTAGAAATGGACTCAAAGATGGTGGGGGATATGATAAATGGCATATGTCAACACTGGACTGATGAGATTCAAAATAATCTGAAGGACCTCAATGCTACTGTGGTCCACTGTTTTAGGAAAGTCAACACTACTGCTGACTCCTTGGCAAAATATGACGCCATAGAAGACTCATCTATGATTTTCACTAACTCTGCCCAAATGCCTTCGATGACTCGGGGAAATTATCTGATGGAGAAGAATGGTATGATAAACTTTAGAATCAGAAGCAAAAGAAAAGGAATAGGCTGAGGTCTGTGAGCTTCTGAGGATCCTAAAGTTGTTAAAATTCTTCTATGGTCATACTTCATAGTACCTTTTTGTGGGCTTCGGGACAAGGGCAACCCCCGTATCTGCTGTTTTGCTTCCTGAGGTTAAGGTTTTAAGTCCCCTCATGTAATCGATTTAATTGATATATTAGATAGATAACTTTATTTAAGAAATGTACATAATCTTGAAACACTACAAATAGCTCCAAGACAGTAGCTTGAAAACACGTATAAAGGAAAGTATTAACTTACAGAAAGACCAAAAAAAATGACAAAGAAGGCAGGTTTGAAATGACAACAAAATGCTTGTTCTTCTCCTTTACATTTGAAGATCAGAAGAGATATATATGTAGAGAAAGTGCAACATTTATCTATAAGATTTAGCTACCATTGACATATATATGTAATTGAACTATGTTGATTAAGATATACTATGACCCTTATATGATAAAGAACTCACTGTTTATAGCAAGAGCAAGCAGATTTCAACACGAGAATACCAAATAATCTCATTAGAATGACTCAGGGGATAACAAAGAGCAACGTAAACCAGAGATTTAACTTAAAACGGCAAAATAAATTCTAAATGACTGTCACACAATAGCAGGAATTTATCACTCAAAACAATAGAGTCCTATGGGCTAAAACAACCAATTATTAAAACACTTCAAATGGAAAACAAGTAAGGCTTAAATACAAGAAGAAACTTTCGTCATTTTTAGGCAAACATAAACCATTTGAAACAAAATTTAATAGCAAAAGGAAGCAGACTTTCCAGAAAAGTAACATTTAAACAAGAACACATGACTATGGCTATGGCTTCGGCACAAGAATATTCAATCGTCTGATACAAAACTTCAGCTTTTCAAATAAACTAGGGATGAAATTGAGTTGTAGCAATTGCAAGAATAGACGACTTTGGGTGGCCAGCGGTGTTGAATTAACAGACGATGCCACATAACCAAATAAAGAAATATCACATACATATATGGTCTTCTAGATTATGTAAGACTGGTCATTTGGTTAAAAGAACAAATAAATTAAAGAGAGGCTGGGTAGCTCGCAAGACTTCTCCTTTGAAGGAAATCGCTTTACAGCTAGAGCACCCTCATAATGACCCTCAGGAAGATCAACAATCAATCTTATGTCTAACGCTGACCTTCCCACAATCAGTCTTGAGCCCAATATTAAAGTTAAGGCACGTGCTACTAGATAGCCTCTTCAGAACTAGCATGTAATAATATTTTCACATTATGACATAGGCTTGACTTTTTGCCTATAAAAGAGACATTTCAGTAGATCTAATAGTGTCGAGATCTCTCTCTGTAAATATTACAAGTTCCATCTTTTAGTGTTTCAATGGAAGAAGACTTTCAAGCAATTTCACTCTTGTATTCTATCCCAACTTTATTTGCTTGGCCAGCAGAAAAGAAACTTGAACTATCTTAATCCACTTGCCTTGAACTCCTTTTCACAAATTTTACTGTTAATCAAAATAATAATATTTTCAAGTAAACAGTTTCGCATTATTCGTGGGGACAGGCACCTGTGGTATTATTTTGATCTATTTTTCTAACTCTTTGTTGAATCACCAGAGTCTGTCCTCTAAAGAATTTCTACCATGTGGAGGACCTAACACGACGGTCTATCTTCCAATGCTAGCATTATGAGTGCGTCCTGTTGGAATGAAAGTTAACCAGTATGGAGTCTATTGTCTCTGGGTGGTTCATCGACTATTCAGACCTCGTCACTTGGGTACTCAAAATCGTAATTGATTTACTGAAATGCGGTGTGCCTTAGGACTTTGCCCAAACTATGAGGGACTTTATCGAGTCATCTGAATAGCAAAGAAAGATAGTGTGGAATCTTAGATGAAACCAACACCGAGCTATCGGGAACACTGTGGCAACAATGGTTTATACTCATAAAACATTGAACCCAGATGCTCAACCAATTCAAATCATGCCTATTAGCAAACAAATTCGAAAGTAAACAGTTGTCTATGCAGAAACGAAAACTGAGGTAAAATAAAAGAGAAGGAAAGGCCAATTACCTTTTGTTGAGCAGCAAGCGTGACGGGAAGATGGAGAAATTTGAACTATCAACCAACAACTCCCTATTTTGAGGAGAAAATCCCTAATGGATAAGGGGAATGGGCCGGGTATGAGGTGTGTACTTGGACCAATTATTCGGCTGAATGGATTAGAAAGAAAAGAATTCAACGGACCTACTTCTTTGAAACTTTTGAAATTGGTTATTGACCCGTCCATTTGTTAGCTCAATCCATCTCAACTTAACCTATTTCAACTCATTAAAAATTGGGTTGATAGTTAACTAAAAGGATAATTGTACAGAATGACAAACTTATAATCTAAAATAAATGGCGTAGCTACTATTTGATTTAATTGCACCCCGTAGCAAACGTTTGCCAGTCACCTCTCTCCCTCCAAATTCTCGCTCGCCACTCTCCGCTTCTCGCTCGCTCCCTCTGTGCTCGCCTCTCTCGTTTTATACAACAGAATTGTATAAATTGTGTTTCTGTTTGTATAAAGCGAGAGAAAATTGTATATACACATGCAAATACATATATATTCGTCCTATACACTTATAATTATACAATAAAAATATTCCCCTGCCCAGTTCTCTTTTTCCTTTCTCTTTTTCTCGTTTTATACAAACACAGATTATACAATATAATGTAAAATTTATGTTTGTATAATGTATAATTTATGTTTGTATAAAGCGAAAGAAAATTGTATATACACATGCAAATACATATATATTCGTCTTATACACTTATAATTATACAATACAAATATTTCTCTGCCCAGTTCTCTTTTGCCTTTCTCTCTTTCTCGTTTTATACAAACACAGATTATACAAATATAATGTATATTTTATGTTTGTATAAAGCGAAAAAGAGAGTGATTTTTTATATACAAATAATTTTGTCAACAATTTATACAAACAAGAGACTAACAACAATTTATACAAATGGCCTGCCAGCGAAATTATATAAATCTGAAGAGGAGCCAACGAATTACAATTGCTTCTTTTTGTATATATGTATAGTGAAATAGACATAGCTTTCAATTGTATATGTATAGCGAATTATACATATATATGTTTGTTATGGAGCACAATTATGCAAACTTTGCTATAGCATACAAATATGATTTTTTTGTTTGCTATATGTAAAAGTTGCTCTAACTAAAATGATTTTTGAGAAATCTTGTCAAAATGTTATTAAAAAAAAATTAAAATTTTATATGTTATATATAGTTATGATAAAGAAAAATAATAATTTTATTAGGTACTAAAAGCTTATAAAATAACAAATAAAGTTATTAAAACTTAGTAAAAATTGAGCGGGTTGGGTTATGACCCGTTACTAACCCGTTTTGACTCAATCCATTTCAGCCCAAGCAAATTTGGGTTGGGTTGGATCTTGACCCATTTTCAACCGCTCAAATTAAACCCAATGCCACCTATACTTTCTATTAACATGACTCTCAGATACATCATTCCCCTCTCGGATACATCCCTCCACATATCGGATAGATCCATGAGCTATATTTAACTGCGATTTCAAGAATAGTTATCGCGACTTATGTATCCATGTAACGACCTGATTTCCGTCGATATGGAAAAGCCAATGGAGAAAGAATTTGGGTCAGAAAACTTTTTCGTAGTAACTTGAAATTTCCTAGCCTAGTCCAGATTTGGACGAAATCAGAGCCTTTAAGGTGTAGGAAAATCTGGTAGCAATCGGGTGAATCATTTATGATTTTGATTACATGAGTAGTTAGATAATTCGTTAAGAAATTCGTACGACTTTACGGAATTGAATTTGAGCGAGTAGAGCTCCCGGAATCGATCTTAGCGTAAAGGGTATTTACTGAGCGTCGTGGGTTAGAGGTGTGTTTGAAATGGAAACTTTGAAATTCTTGAAATAACTCTCTGTCTCGAGAATTTCGCTTTGGCGCTGGGTTTTGCCGTTTTGGCGAGGTCGTTGTGACGGGGTGGTGGCTGCGGTGGCGGGCCCGACGCGAATTAAAGTCGTTAATAAACCTCTAAACGACCTCATTATACACTTTTTGACTTTTTGAGCTAAGGAACGACCCCCAGGCGACTCTTACTCATTTTTTACTATTCTTGAGGCTAAAGGTAAGCTTTTCACTCCCCGAATCCGTTTTTCGATTCGTAGAACGTAATAAAATGGGTGAATATTGATGGGGGAGGGTTTTGTTATAGATTCTATGATGGAAAAAGCCCTAAATTGGGTATTAAGATCTTGAGTTTGGTCTAGGGTTATTAGGTTTGTAATAATCCGGATAATTAGACCTTTGATTATTGATCCTTGCATATAAATTGTTGTTTGTAGACCTAGAACAAGCAAAAAAAATTTGAAAAGGGAAGATTCAAGTGCCTTAGGTGATTCAAGCTTGGATTCGAGGTAGGTGATGGTTGTGATTCTATGATTGTGTGATGTAGGTTTGTTCTTGCTTCATTATGATACATGTATGTATGCGAATGTTGCATTATTGATCACACTTGTTGTTTATGAGAATAATTGAATAATTGTATGCCATGAATCACCTCTTGTTGTATGATTGTGAGAATATACATTGTGATTGTGGTTTGTTGAATGGGCGGGTGTCACGATCTGACACACTAACTTGGATCGGATTGCCATGTTCCAACATAAACATGGGATCGACTGCCACGTTTCGGCACACTAACTTGGATCGGATTGCCACGTTCCGGCATAAATATGGGATTGGCTGCCACGTTCCGGCATAGCTAACTTGGATCGGATTGCCATGTTCCAGCATAAACATGGGATCGGCTGCCACGTTCCGACATAAATATGGGATCGGATTGCCACGTTCCGGCATGCTAACTGTTTGGGTTTGGGTTTGGGTTCCATGAGAGGACCATTGAATTGGGTTCCGTGAAAGGACCATTGAATTGTGTTGTGTATCTACTTGTGATGAGTTCGTTCATATCTAATGATGATTGATATTGGAAGACGGTATGTTGCTCTAAATTGATATAACTGTGATATGTGAGAATGGTGAAGATATGTTGATGATATTGTATATGTTCGATATGTACATATGATTATATTGTTGTATTGACTAGTGTATGTTACACTTAGTGGGATAGCCGCGTTATCCTACCAGTACACGGTGATTGTGTACTGATACTACACTTGCTCTTTCTTTGTTGAGTACAGGGCATCTTCAGGTGGCTATTGATAGACCCCAACTAGGTGACTATAAGCGTGACCAGATTCAAGGGTGAGCCAGTTCTTTCAGTCTGCCATGGATCTTCCTTGTTTAAGTCTACTCTTTTCGAACTCACACTTTTTGTTTAAGGTGTTGTTTAGTTTCGGGGTTGTACCCCTTGTTCTTAGACTTGTCGTAAGTAGAGTTTTGGTACATTGACTTTCAGGTTCTAGGTTAATTCTTCCGCATTTGTTAGTTATTGTAGAACTTTTGTTAGAGTTTATGGAAACTCTATTTTCTTTTCTTAGTAGTTGACTTATATGCCTTAGTTCTTAGATTGATTGCTTGGTTTGGGTTGTAGTAGTGGTTTTCCCATCGGATGGTTAGTGTGAGTGTCAATCACGACGGTCTGGGTCGTGACAATCCACATGTCTACTAATGTATTCGAAATTCTTTAATTTTAAGGAATTTTTGTAATTTCGAAAAGAATAGGGATAGAACTTAATTAGCTATTAACACTATGAGATTTATTAAATTTTTACCCAAAACAAACCGTGCTTTCTTAATTTCTTAATTTTAATAAGATAAAATAATTTTGTTGTCATAGACTAGTTATTTTTGAAGTAAAAGCTTCAATTATTGACATTCAATTTTGGTCATCTACGATTAATTGTTAAGTTTCTTCAATTTCAAACAATTTAGAATAATTAGCTTTATAAAAATTTTAAAAAAAATCAAGTTATTTTAAAGTTATTTTTTTACAAATATTTGAAAAGAAATTATCTAAAAAGATAGTGTTTTAACTAAATATTTTCCGAAGTTGATTGTGTAAATAATATAAAAGAAGAAACTAATTTAATTTTCAGTTAAAACAATATCTTCTTTTGGGAATTAATTAGGAACATAGATAGAGTATATATCAATAAACTGTGTATAGTGTCATATAAAAATAATAAGATTATAATTAGGCATTGGCATAAAGAATGAAATAGAGGTAACAGGAAAAAAAAAAAAAGCGCGGGGAAGGGGTGGGGGCAGCCAAATAACTCGCAAAATAAACCTTAGCATAAATCATAATGACTCGTGACATCTTATAAGTTAAATGAAAATGCTGATTGCATATTAATTTGTGAATTGGTTCATCAAACTCACGGTTAAATCAATAAAATTCATTAAATCATCATCTTTTGATTTTATTGGAGATATCCTGACAGGTGGTTCATTAAATGTTTCTTCACAAGTGTCTGGAGCACTCGCAACACCAGCAGCAGAACTTCTTGCTCCAGGAAAGTCATTTGCATCAAAATCTTTAATTGCTGTTTCAGCATTATCTATCGAAATATCATAATTTTCCTTACAAACTTGAAGGCATTGTATGAGAACGGGTTCTTTTTCTTGCTCTAGTAGACTTACAATTTCATTATAAATACTTTTTGTCTTCGTTAAACATTGTTGAAGAAGAATACGTACTAAACCTTTTTTATCCACAGAAGAGCTCTTAGGGTCTGATCTAAGAGCGTCGATGCAAACCTTGAAGTAACTAGACGTTCGACAAACATCTTCTATCAAATCTCCCGACGAATAAGTTACAAGAGAAAGAAAGAGCATGAAAATCACTATTAATGCTTTCAAGGAATTCATCTTCACTGGTGCATATGTTTTTTGAGTCATATGTGAGTTGTTTTTATAGCTAGAATACAATATTCATATTTATTTCTTTTCCATAAAAAAATATTTAAATATTATTAGGTCAAGATTGTGGTAATTATTTCATTTCCTTTTGAAGTAAACTAGGCATACAAATAGTCTAATGTTAATTCACTCTAAATATGATTTTCAATCGATTTTTTTCTTAATATGACAAATATAATATGGAAAAGAAACTGAAAGTTATCAATTATGTTTTGTGAAAG